CCTTGTAATAGTCACTGACCCCTTCCATGTTTGCCAACTTAACAGACTGGGCTGGATTTACTATTCTGGGAGCCCAAGGCTATTAGACTTTGTGTGGCTCCCTAGACTCCAGGGTGGGCCCAAAAATGAGGAGTTCAGAGTGCAGGAGAGGTGGTTGAGGCAGGAGAGTGGGGTGAGGGAGGGGGTGAGGGCTCCAACTGGGAGTAAGGGCTTTGGGGAGGGTTACGGGGTTTGGAGTGTGGCTCCAGGATAGGAGGCTGGGGTGGGGGTGTAGGGCCTGGGCAGGAATTTGGGTACTAGAGCAGGCTCAGGGCTGGAGTGTGGGGTCTAGGAGATAGAGTATCGGGGGGGCTCAGGGCTGGGGAAGGGTTTTGGGGTACAGAGTGCTTATCTGGGGCAGCTCCTGTTTGGGGGAGGGAAAGCAGGCAGTTTAGGGTGGCTTGAGCTGCCCTGTAGACCCCACCTTACCCCCAGCTCCCATTAGCCTGAAATCTCTTGTGGTGTGGATACACCTCTTCTTTACCCCAACACAGCAGGGCCAGATCATACTCATGGCCTTTAATGCCTGCAGACCAATCCCTCAAGATAATGGGGCCTCATAAACCGATCTGGACCCTTGGCAGCCCGAAGATCCTTTTTACAGGCTCCCCCTTAGCCCAAGGCTCTGGGCTGCAGCCCCTAAAGCCCCTTTCTTAATCCAGCCTGGTTAACAGACCTAAATGTAGACAAACACCTATGTCAGGGGTGGCCAACCCATTCTGGGCAAAGAGCCAAGATATCAGTAGATCCAGCATGAAGATCCAGGGTTTATTTAAAAAAAAAAAAAAAAAACCCTGCCCCTTTAAGAAAACGCGTTTAGAGGCTTTTTGGCCACATCAGGTCCCCGCCGGCCGAAGCCATCTTTAATACTCCATCTTTAATGGCGGCACCGGACAGCTCCCCTGCCTCCATGAGTACAAGGAGCCAGGAGGAAAGGGCCATTTTCAGGGGCGCAGGGGGGCTTCATTTGAAAATGAACCCTCTTTGCTGGCACCACCTTTTCTTTTTTTTCTTTGTAAAACACCATACCCACCAAGCGTACAGTCAATATTCCTTGCACTCTACTATAACAATAGTGAAACAAGAGACAAGGTGGGTGAGGTAATAACTGAAGTTGGTCCAATAACAGACATTACCTCACTCAGCTTGTATCCAATATCCTGGGACTGACATGGATATAACACTACACACAAGTCATGAAACAAGTTAATTATGTACTGTAGGCAAGATGAAATGTGTTATTTTGACAAAGTTACATCATCTCACTACTGGAAAGCATTTTTATTAGTCCCTTGGTAATCTGTATTGCTACTACCATGTTTTTGCCAGATGAATGCAGTTAGCCAATACCCCACTCCATCTTGTTTTTTACATGGACTGGGAAACACTCCGCAAGACACTTTGGTTTTCTTCCTCTTTCTGTAAATCGGTGGCAGTGCTCCAGGAAAACCATCATCATGCCATCTTTTTATATTCTTGGCTACTGTACTTTTCTGACACTAACACTCTCAGTAAAACATCAGAAGGTTGGTTACAACGGGCAGTAAGAGTGAGCAGTCCCTAACACCCCAAAAGAATGCATTCCCTTAGGAATCACTGCTTGGAACCTCCCAGCCTTCTTGTTCTCTATGAGCTTCCAAACTTTACTATGAGCGAGACCCTTCTAGAGCAGTGTTTCTTAAACTATGTTCTGCAGAACACTGGTGTGCCATGAATAACTCACAGGTGTGCTGCGACCTCTTTGTTTTTGTTACTTCTTTGTTTTTCGTCTTTTTTTGTCCGACAAATTTTTTTTGAAGAAAATTTTCATAGTGTTCCGCATAAAAAAAATTGTGTGGTGTACCGTGGTCTCAAAAAGATTAAGCAACATTGTTCTACAGCACAGTAATGCAGTAAATCTTTCCATTTCAAGTGCTAACTGGATGGCTTTATATTGTGGCATCTGTACTTCGATTTCTAAACACCTTAAATTTCCTTCCTTTTCCCCTAAAAATATATGAGTGAGACTGCTCATGGCCAGGGCTGCTCTGCACCCAGCACGTGCTCACAGCCAGCTAGGCTGCTGTGCTCATGCTGCCCCAGAGTGCCTGAGGAAGAAATGTGTGGCAGCTGCAACGGTGACTCCAGGACCCAGGTATTAGGTATGGGGGGTGGGAGGGCTGGGAGTGCCTGGCTGTGAGGGAGAGGGGAGGCATTAAGCTGGGGAAGGCCTGGCTCTGGGGAAGGGAAGAGGCATTAGGTTGGGGGTGCCTGGCTCTGGGGGAGTAGAGGGGGATTGGGTTAGAACAGGGGTATGGGAATGCCTGGCTCTGGGGAAGAGGAGGGGGTTATTGTGTTAATATTTTGGGTTATTTATTTATTCCCAAATAAAAATCACAAAACATATATTAATTTTATATCAATAAATGTGTCAAATTTTTGCAATTTATTTCAACAGAACAAGTTATGTATCTCATAAAAAAGGTGAGTATATTGATTTTTTAAAATACCTTAAATTTATATTTAAGTTAAAACTCATTTTATATGAGCAAATAATTTTATACATCAAATTATTGTATTATATTAAAACAAGACTTGAAAAAATTATAAAATATACCTAAAACATCATCTAATAATAATAAATAATTATGACTTTCTGATAAAGTACATTTTCTTTGGTGGCCCTGAAAGCTATCAGTTTTCATTTGTACAGCCCTCAGTAGGCTTCGAGTTTGGCATGCCTGTTACAGACTAACAGATTTAATCGCGCATAAGCTTTCGTGGGCAAAAATCCACTTTGTCAGATGCAAGTGGGTCTTTTCCCATGAAAGCTTATGCTCCAATAAATCTCTTAATCTATAAAGAGCCACAGGACTTCTCGTTGTTTATGCAGATTCAGACTAACACGGCTACCCTTCTGATACTTGTTACCATGTAATCAGTTGCTTAACAGTTGTCCCACAAGGCCAGTTTATACCTGGCCAAACACCAGCGGCATGGATTTGAAGTTCCTTTCAGTAACATAAAAGACACATGGTAACCATGACCGGGCTTATTTCAGGACTTGTTGACTAGTTGATGATTTTAAAAAAGCAACTGACCTGCCAAAGATTAGTCAATGAGCAAATCTTCCAGAAGATAAGGGATGTTTGTTGGACTACTGTCCTTGAAACTAAATTCGACTACCTTTTACTACCGGTACTTTCTACTAAGAAATGTATTGGATAGGCGACAATCCACAAAGAGCATAAAGTAGAATTCCAATAGTAATTAACAACTCAGCACCATCCTGAGATCCATTTAAAGAATGTACAAGCAGCAACTGTATTCTCAGGTCAAGATCTGATAAGTCATGTTCAAATCTACTTTTGTTAGAAAGAATTCTCTCTGTAATCTTTATTATTCACAGATTTGGTCAGAAATATCTCCTGTTTAAAGCAATTAAAACCCTCATTGCTAGGGATATAAAATTTACTTTGACACACTCTCTCTTTCTCTCTCCAGAGAAAGATTAAATTATTAATCAACTGAGCAATTAGAACAGTGAAACAGGTTCAGCTGTAAAAAAAGCCTGCACATGCTTTGTCTAGTATTGAATAAATAGAGTTATTTGGTCTCCATCCTAATCCCAGTGACAGATGTCCACATCAGAAATGCCGACCACCACAAAAGGGTAGAAACTAACAACTTTGTTGACTGTGTCTACAGAGAAGCCAAAGACTGCATGAACCATGGAGACAGCGCTATCTTCTCATCTGCACAGAGGATCCCTCTTGATAAGAAGCGATTGTTTAAGTGTTCATGCCCAATATGTGCTCTCACAATGTATGTAAATTCTGCATCTGTGAAAGATGCTGGCTTGAGAGCCCTGGAGACTAAAGCCCATTATTTATTGACTGAATAGGTACAATAGTGAGCATGGAAGCTGCTAAGCTGCACCCCCCACATGGTTTATGTCAGTGTACCTGAACTATGGTCTGGAGGTAGTACAGTGTCTGCCTGGCCCAGTCAACAATGAGTTTCTGAACACAACATTAACCAGGCTTCTAGTCAGCAGTAGTAATGACATGTAGCAGAGCAGAGCAGCTAGGGTGCTGCCGAGCAGGGGGTGAGGGGCGGTGCTGCGGGACCAACCGGGCAGCACCCTAGCTGCTCTGAGCCTCTTCCCCAAGTCCGCCACTGGTCTGTTTCAGCAGCGGCAGCAGCAGACTTGGGGAAGCGGCACGGAGCAGCTCCAATTGTCCGGCCGGCTGGAGCACTTCTGGATTCCAGTTGGTGCCGGACTATCAGAGTGCCGGACCACTGGATGCTGGACAATTGGAGTTTTACTGTACTATGGTTATTTTGGATCAGCTGACTAATTTTCTTACAAAACATTTGTTTCATAATAGTTATAATTTGCATTTAAAAAACCATAGATGCCATACAATTTTCTGTATCTTTTTACTCTAGTCTTCCTGATGAAACAATATTTCTGGAATTATATTTCATTGAGAGCAATCATTAAACTTTGTGCTTGGCTCAATATAGGTTTTCAAAATCTCATTACCTTTTCAATAGCAATTTTAATGAAATACCTACCTATTTAGAAATTAATACAGATCAACCATTATGGACAGATTTTGTATGCCCATCTGGATTCTAGTTTCTTTCTTTGGCCATCTTAGGTTTTCCTGCTTCAACAAATAAAATGCTATAGCTGGTATTTCAGCAGATCTATGTAAAATTATAATATTTTGCTCTACTAAAAAGTTTTACAGGAGGACTAAGGCTTCAGGATTGTCATGGATTCCATGGCTTTGTGACATATGTGACTTATGCAGCAGTTTTTTAGACGGTAAGCCACACAGATGTGAGTGAATATGTGGTCCTTTCATAGTAGGGATGATGAATTCTACTTAACCCAAATAAATCCAAAGCATTTGTGTTAATGGAATCTGTGTAATGCTCCTTAAGGTCATTATAAGGGTAAGATACTGTACCTCATATCATGGATAAGTGAGACTCTCAATGTAGGTAAGGTAATTCCTGTGTCAGACTTCCTTCTTTCCGGGCCAAGGGCAACTATATAGGGGGCAAAAAAAAAAAAAAAAGAAGATAATATTAAGAGATTAAAAAGTGATGATAGTTTGTAGTACAGGTTGGACCTCACTGGTCCAGCACCCTGGGGACTTGACTGGTCCCTTCTGTCATGGCCATGCTGCTACTGGGCTAGGGCTCCAGCCTGCCCTCACAGCTGCCTCAGCCTGCAGGGCTGTCCCTGGCCCCATTACTGCTAGGATCACAGTGCCACGGCCAAAACTGCGCAGCCAGGGCAGAGCTCCGCAGCCAGAGTTCTGCAGCAGGAGTGGAGGGACGGAGCCGGAGCTCCGTGGCTCGGACTAGAGGTCCCTGCCTGCCACTGGGGCTGGAGTTTCCCGACCACTGGAGCCAGAACAAGGCCGGAGCTCTGTGGTCAGAGCTCCCTGGCTGCTGCTGGGGTTGGAGTTCGCTGGCCGGGGCTGGAGGTCCATAGCTGCGGTCAGGCTAGAACTCCCCAGCCACGGGGGCTAGAAAGCTCTGCTGGAGCTAGAATTCCCTGCCATGCCATCCATCGTCCCCCTGCCTCCACACTCTGGGCTCCTGGCTCAATTGCCAGCGCTCCTGCCCGCCACCAGACCTCCCTCTTCCTGGGCTCTGTGGTCCAGGAACATCCATGGTCCATGCCGGACCACAGATGTTGGTAGACCAGTGAGTTTTGGTTAAGGGAGGTACGACCTGTATATTAATGTACACATCTGTAATAGAAATCCTACAGTACTAAAGAACTGCAACAGTTATGTGCAGTTTCAGGAATATGGCCTGGCAAAGTGTTTTCCAGTTTGTCTGTTTCCACATTATGCATTACGAGAAAATTTACCTGACACTGCTTAGTTCCTTAACTCATTTTTTCCCCCCCTTCATTTAAATAATTGCTCTGTGGTGGGGATGAGGGTTTCAGTATGCATGCTACCCTGGAGAGAGGGCTACCCTAGCCCTGTCTCATAGCAACAGCTTGTGGGCAGGTGAGAAGCATCTCTTCATGGCCACTGCAGCTCCAACAGGCACAGCCAGAAGAGGGGCGCATGTCCTCCCGGTTGGGGCAGGTCCCTGTTCATCTGCCCCTGTGCTCCCCAGACAGACTGAGGAATGCCACAAACTCTGCACTTTCTCTTGGCTCCCTGACAAAAAGGAACAGCCAGCAATGTTCCTGTATGAATCAGGGAGAGGGGAGCTTCAGCCCTCCCCTCCTCCATAAAGAGTTTGAGAGGTGGGCGGCTCATGGCTGGGGCAGTCCCGAGGAGAGGGGGAAGTATGCTCCCAGCCAGCCCTTTTCACCTTCCTGGCAATTCTCTCTTCTGTATGTTTTTGTAAGAAGAATCCCATTCCAGGAACATATCATTTTCCTGGTATAGCCAAACCTTTGCATTGCTTTAAATGATGGTAAGAAGAAGGTATACACCAAATTTGGTGGTCTAAGCTCTTATGGTTTAAGAGGAGTTCTTGAGCAAACATATAGATGGACAAATTCTCTCAAATATATAGTAGATCTAGGTCACTTTTTAAAAATTAATCCAAGACTTCACTTAGAGATTTCAGATGATTCATGGAATGCCGCCTCCTCTGCCTATGGAATATATATGTAAATCTGTTCTATGAGGCCTTGATAAAAGTATCTTAACAGAAATCTCAAACAAACCCACTTGACAAATTTAAAGAGTATCTAATATGCTTGTTTTACTTCAAGAATGTCAGGCGTTTCTGCACTCTAATATTCTAATCTGACTACTTTGCCATTACATATTTTGCACTCTAGAATTTATTTGTGCCAGATAGATTGTTTGGTAGCTGTCCATTAGTCAGACAGGGGCATGCAGTGCTATATTTAGTAAGACATACAACAACTTCTTAGATTACAGATATTCACTTCACAAACTGATGAGAGTTCGTACCGCTAGCTCTGGTCTTGCATGGATGATTCAATGCTATGTTTTTTTTTGTTTTTTTTAAGTCCTTTATGCAGAAACACAGTAAGTTAATTCATCTTAAGATCTCAATAAATATTTCCAAATAGCTATAACTTAACAGATTTTATCTGCATGTATGCAATTTTAGTAGATATTGGTAAAAGAATGCAAACCTCAAAAAGCTATGCTAATCACCTCTGGAACACACAATTTAATCATCTGCCAGAAATGTACAAAGGCACGATGTCTCAATTATTGAATCACTGAGTCAGACAAATGAGATGTTCCTCTCTTCACTTACATAAGATTTTAAGGGGGACTTGCCATTATGCATTTATTCTACACTTCCATGCCTTTTTAGTGACATTCCACACAAGAGTGTGCTCCGTGCAGAGTGATCTCATGTGTTCAGTGTGTGCATTGTCACAGTGTGTACAGGATTCTATTGTGTTTTACAAATGGTATCCATCATACAGTTTTCAAAGGGACATAAGGGCCCAAAAGCAAACTATTCCACTACATAGGAAAGACAGAATGTATGGCAGGAGACCGACCACCGTGGATCATCTTATATGATCTAAAAATCAAAAAGGAGTTGTATAAAAAGTGGAAACTAGGTCAAATTACAAAGGATGAATGTAAGCAAACACAGGTATACAGGGGAAAAATTAGAAAGACAAAGGAACAAAATGAGCTCAATCTAGTCAGAGGCATAAAGGGTAACAAGATGACCTTCTACAAATATATTAGAAGCAAGAGGAAGACCAAGGACAGGATAGGCCCATTGCTCAATCAAGAGGGAGAAACAATAACAGGAAACTTGGAAAAGGCAGAGGTACTTAATGACTTCTTTGTTTCAGTTTTCATCAAGAAGATGGATGGTGACGGGATGCCTAACATAATGAATGCCAGTGGAAATGAGGTAGGTTTAGAAGTTAAAATAAAAGAAAAAAGTTAAAAATCACTTAGAAAAGTTAGAGGTCTGCAAGTCACCAGGGACTGATGAAATGCATCCTAGAATACTCAAGGAGCTGACAGAGGAGGTATCTGAGCCTTTAGCTATCATCTCTGAAAAATCATGGAAGTCAAGAGAGAATCCAGAAGACCAGAAAAGGGCAAATATAGTGCCCATCTATAAAAAGGGAAGAAAGAACAACCCAGGAAATCATAGACCAGTCAGTTTAACTTCTGTGCCAGGGAAGCTAATGGAGCAAGTAATTATGGACTCGACCTACAAAGATCTGGAAGATAATGAGGTGATAGGTAACAGCCATCATGGATTTGTAAAGAACAACTCATTCAAACCAATTTGATTGCTTTCTTTGATAGGATATCACGCCTTGTGGAGAAGAGAGAAGCGTTGGACATGGTATACCTAGACTTCAGTGAGGCATTTGACATAGTCTCACATGACCTTCTTATCAATAAACTAGGCAAATACAACCTAGAGGAGGCTACCATAAGGTGGGTGCATAACTGGCTGAATAACATTCTCAGAGAGTAGTTATTAATGGGTCACAATCATGCAGGAAGGGCATAACAGGTGGAGTTTTGCAGGGGTCTGTATTGGGACCAGTTCCGTTCAATATCTTCATCAATGGTTTAGATATTGGCATAAAGCGGACAATTATTAAATTTGCAGATGAAACAAAGCTGGGAGGGGTTCCAAGTGCTTTGGAGGATAGGTTCATAATTCAAAATGATCTGTACAAACTGGAGAAATGGTCTGAGGTAAATAGGATGAAGTTTAATAAGGAGAAATGCAAAGTGCTCCACTTAGGAAGGAACAGTCGGTTTCACACATACAGACTGGGAAGTGACTATCTAGGAAGGAGTACTGCAGAAAGGGATGTAGGGGTCACAGGGGACCATAAACTAAATATGAATTAACAGTGTGATACTCCTGCAAAAAAAGCAAACGTGGTTCTGGGATGCATTAACAGGAGTGTTCGCTCTACTCTGCACTGGTTAGGCCTCAGTTGGAGTATTGTGTCCAGTTCTGGGCACCGCATTTCAAGAAAGATGTGGAGAAAATGGAGAGGGTCCAGAGAAGAGCAACAAGAACAATTAAAGGTCTAGAGAACATGAGCTAGGAGGGAAGACTGGAAGAACTGGGCTTGTTTAGTTTGGAAAAGAGAAGATTGAGAGGGGACATGATAGCAGTTTTCAAGTATCTAAAAGGGTGTTACAAGGAGGCGGGAGAAAAACTGTTCTCCTTGGATTCCAAGGATAGGACAAGAAGCAGTGGGCTTACATTGCAGCAAGGAAGGTTTAGGTTGGACATTAGGAAAAACTTCCTAACTGTAATGGTGGTTACACACCAGAATAAATTTGCCTACGGGGGTTGTGCAATCTCCATCTCTGGAGATATTTCAGATATTTCAGGTTAAATGAACCTTTATCAGGGATGGTCTAGATGGTACTGGATCCTGCCATGAGGCAGGGGACTGGACTTGACAACCTCTGAAGTGCCTTCCAGTTCTAGCATTCTATGAAATACAAGTTTGAGGACAAGAGACAATAATCTTGCAGGTTACCCCAGTAGGACCATGTTTCATTTCTGGAGCTTGCAATGCATGACAACATGTCCCTGGTCACGAGATGGTTATTGCAAAGCTTTAATGAATCAAAGACCAGTTTTATCCATTGATATATACTTGTCACCTGAGCAGTGCTCTAATTCTTGTCATCTCTAATTCTAGTCAT